ATTAGGTGTTTGAGAAATTAGATTTTTCATTGTGGTTGTAATACCAACATTTTTAGAGCGATCAATTTCAACACCATTTAATTCATAACGAATCTCATTAAACAGGTAGGAAATACCATTGCTAATTAACTTTGTATTAGTTACAAGCGTATTGTTTGGCTTAACAATTCTGCCAGTGACGTGTAAAGTACTTTTAGAGGGAAGAATGTACAAGTCTTGATGTTGAACTGCAATTCGAATCTCGTCACTGTTATTAAATGCTGATGACACGTATGGTTGATGTGCATGAATCTCATAGTGTGCCACAGAATTATCAAATTTAACTGGACTTAGAATGTTTAAAATTTCTTCCATTTTTGTTACAACAACAAATAAAAAGTATATGAAAAATCAATTTTTTCTCTTGTTTTCTTGATAAACTCTTAGGCCGAGCTGCTTCAGAAATAGTATGTTCTGAGATGTTAGTCTCTTGCGAACTGATTGAGGAATGAATGACTTCTGACATGGCAACTCTTTTATATAGCTTCCACCAGTTTTTCTATGAAATACAATTCCCATTACGTTGATTTAACGTGTAATCGAATTGTTATAGTTTCACCTCTAAAATTTATTAAATCTCCGTCTTGATCAACGATTCTTACTTGAATATTATGTATTGTCTTCACGGCGATTGGAAGGTAAATGACGTGAGATGGAACTTCCACAATCTTATATCCAGCTGGAACAATTGGAAAAAATTCGTGAATTGTGTGTACCTTTTTTTTATTTATGTATGCACCAGTAGTAATGTTACATTCAATTCTGATAGCATTTACCTTAAGAATGGCTACTGGTACATCTGACGTATGAGCCTTATTAGCTGTCAATATTCGTGGAGTAAATCCTAATAATTTACCAATTGAATCGTTTTGTTCAAAACTCACTTCAAGGCTGCTTGTTATTTCACTACGTAAAGTATTATTGTTAGGTTTGATTCTTACAATTTCAGATCCATTTTCAATAGAGTTTTGAATATATTTTTCAATATCTTCAATTTCATAGCTTCCAGGGGGTATAGTAATTACTTTATCACCAATATAAAATTTATTTTTACCTTGATCGATATTAGGAATTGAATTGAAAGTTAGTAATTCAACTAAGCCAAGTACATAATTTTTATTAGATAATAATTCTATCGGAGGAAAATATTCTGCCTCCAGGACAGATGAATTGCCTGAGATAGTCAGAGTAAAAGATTCTTCCATGTTGATGACTTTTTATAAACTGATTAGGTGGAATGACTTACAATCACTTATATAGAATATATTTTTGAGTTAATTCAAGCTGTCCACATAAGAATTTCAGACATAAATGACCACAATTAAAGCTATTATAAACTTGATAATTTTGATGATTATACTGTATTAAAGTATTGTAACCTAAGTAATTGACAAGTTCATAGGGTGGTTGAAGATTACCAAAACTATCAAAGTATACTGCTTTATTATTAACTTTTTTATATGCAACCCAATGAGTTCCAGAACCATCTTTATCATCTAAATTAATAATGGCTGATTCATTTTTTCGAGGACCTCTTATAGGTAGTTCATTTCGCATAAAAACTCCTCGAAAATGGGAAATTTTCATTTCTTTAACATATTTAAGTAAATCTAGATCTGTAAGTGCTCGTTGAGGCAGCTTTAAACTTTTTTTTTGTACATCGTCTTTTAATACCTTGTCCTTTAACGTATGGTTTCAAATGAAGTCCCAAACCTTGTCGGTATGGTTTTAAATGTAGACCTTTACCAAGTGCAACTGCTTCTAACTCTCTATTGTGACGCTGAGCTTCCTTCAACTGCTCTTTTGCTGCACTTGCATCATTAACAGCTTCTGCTACACCAGCAGCTCCCCCAGTAAGCGCTCCAAGTGCACTTAGACCAGCAAAAATGGGAATCAATGGTAACAGACCACCAACTTTTGATGGGACAGGTAGAATACGAGGTGTTAAAACCTTTTCTCTACCACCTGCTTTCCTTACAGCTTTTCGAGCTGTTTCAATAGCTGACTTTATTATTGATCGAGCATCATTACGAATTATTGATTTTCTTGCAGCATCAACAATTTTTCTAAGATTTACTCGTTTTTTTGATTTTGTCTTCTTCTTTACTCCCATTCCAAATTTTGATTTAGCTTTCATAGCGTTTGTTATTGCGTAAGCTGCAGCTCTTTCACTATATTGTGCGTCTGGAGCAAATACACGTTGCCACGCTTTGTCAGCTAATACTCTATCAGCAGCGTTTCTTTCTTCAACGTTTTCTCGATTTTTCGAGTAAGCAATATCGTGCTCTTTACAAGCGGTGTCTAATGGATTAACACCTGGATCACCTCGGTCTAGTCGTTTTGCTAACTTTGTGCCCGGTCCACAATATTGATAACCCGGCAAATGTAATTCAAATGGCAACTTGTTTATAAGTTTATTAATTAAACCTTTTCCTCGAGAGTGATGATATATAATCATACCTTACTCTGTGAAAGTTGAAATTAGAATGACTTGTGAGCTATATAAGCGCTGTATTTATACCTTCAGCGGCAGTCTAAATCAGGATGCGGTTCAAGGAACAACTTCACAAGCTGCCAGTCGTCAATCTAGACTCGATTGTTGAACAACAAGACAAGAAAGTGAAGCGTCATGGTAGTTTATTTTCCGGTAGTATTCGAGCTATTTTTTGTGGACCATCAAATTGTGGAAAGACAAATGTACTCCTTTCTTTAATTTTACATCCTAATGGTCTTAGATTTGATAATATTTACTTGTACTCAAAGTCTCTACATCAACCCAAGTATAAATTCTTGGAACAAGTTGTAAGTAATGTTGAAGGAGTAGAGTATTTACCATTTAGTGAGCATGAAGATGTCATTACTCCTAAAGATGCAAAACGAAATTCAATATTTATATTTGATGATATTGCTTGCGAGAAGCAAGATAATGTAAGGGCATTTTTTTGCATGGGTAGACATGTTGATGTTGATTCTTTTTATCTTTGTCAAACATATGCCCGCGTTCCTAAACATTTAGTACGTGATAATGTTAATTTACTAGTTCTTTTTCGTCAAGATGAGAAAAATTTAAGGCATGTTTATGATGACCACGTTAATACTGACATGACATTTAATCAATTTCGAGAACTATGTGCCACATGTTGGAATTCAGACAAATATGGATTTGTAGTAATTGATAAGGATTCTGATTTAAATGATGGAAGGTATAGAAAAGGATTTGATAGCTTTGTAACACTATAAATATAAGATCATTTCTAAAATATTGTTAGTTCAATATGAAACCTTGTAATAATAACATGTTTCATAAAGAAAAAGAATATCTTCATCAAATTGCTAAAGCTAGTGAGGCAATTATAGGCGAAAACATCGTATGTTAAAATTAGGAAAAGAAGATGCTGAAAATGTGTTGAATGAAACTTTCAAACCGATAATTCAACCCTTACAAAAAATTATCAACTTGACAGACAGTGAACATGAAAATGTCAAGATTGAAAATGTCAAGATTGAAAATGTTAAGGTTGAAAAGAAAGAGCAGAAGGAGGATGATAGCATAAACTATGAAAGTGAAACTGAAAAATCTCTAGATGATGATAAAATAAGTAATAAATTTCTATACTTATTAAATCATAATAGAAAGCAATGTTTAGATTCAACATACGGCATACGTAAGCTAAGTGATGGATCACTTATGATTGGTGATTCACCAATAACTCTTGAAGATCAGTTTGTAAAAATTGGTGATAAACGATATCTTCAAACACCTGGATTACTTGAACTTTTATTCAAAAGTAAACCTACCAGATCGTTTATAAGTGAAGCTGATGAAAGAAACTATAAAGAGATTCTGATTGCTACTAATGCACACAAAAAGAAGTATAGTTCCTCTGAATCTATACGCACGGATAAGAGTTACAAGTATTTGAATTTTATATCTCAATTCTTCCCTCGAACACCTACCAAACAGCCATCTGTAAGCGGTAGTTCATTACCTAAATTTATGATTACAAACAGAAATTTTCAACGAGAATATATCTATTGGGATGATCCGAATGAGTTGGTTGACCGTCTTAGACTATTAATGTCTTCTCAAGATGCTGGAAATCCTAGTCACAATAATGAAATCATGTCTATCATTGAGGAACTACGTGAAGCTAAAATGATATATTAAGATGTGTTTTAGCAAATATCATTCATTTCAACAATGAGCATTGACGTGTTCGGACATCCTCTCAATCAAAGAGGAACAGCAAGACGAGGGCCTCCTGGAGTTGGTTTTAAACTTAATTCTCAAGGTAACTTTGACGTTGAAGGAAGAAAACTCTCTAATCTTGCTAACGCTGAAGAAGAAAACGACGCTGTCAATTTAAAACTTGTACGACATATGATAAAACACGAAGTGCGTTTATTGTATGAAGCTAGTGCCTCACTTAGATCAGAGGTGGACAATAACAACTTATTTCTAAAAGTTCTTGAAGACTCTATTACAGAAAAAATAAAATATTTTGAAAAAGATATAAATCAAGACTTATCTTATCGAACAGCTGAAATTATTAGTGAATTGGATACTCGGTTAAGTGCTCTTGAGAATGAACAACAAAAAATTAACGGTAGTGAATGAACTTCATACCCAGGCTAGAAAAAATTATCCTCGACGGCGAGTTGAAATGCGTGATATTGATGAGACATGGCAAGCAGATTTAGTAGAAATGATACCTTATTCAAGAATAAATAAAGGTTTCAAGTATTTACTAACAGTTATAGACATATTTTCAAAATATGCTTGGGCTGTTCCAGTAAAAAGTAAAAATGGAAAAGATGTTTCTCATGCAATGCAATCTATATTTGCTAAAAAACATATACCAAAAAACTTGCATAGTGACAAAGGAAAAGAATTCTATAACTCACAATTTGAAGCATTAATGAAAAAGCATAAAATAAATTTTTATTCAACATACAGTAATATGAAGGCTTCCATTGTTGAACGGTTTAATCGAACACTAAAAAGAAAAATGTGGATGCAATTTAGTTTGCGGGGAAATTACAAGTGGTATGATATATTGCCTACTCTTATTTCCAACTACAATAATACAAAACATAGAACAATCGGAATGAAGCCTAAAGATGTTACTTCAGAAGACGTTGAAATTTTAAAAGAAAGGATCTCTAAACTGAGAAAAATTCCTTTAAGACGACCAAAGTATAAAATTGGTGACAAAGTTCGAGTAAGCAAATATAAAAACGTTTTCGAGAAAGGATATACACCCAATTAGACAACAGAAATATTCACCGTGGATCAAGTTGTATCAACTCAACCAGTGACTTACAAGCTCAAGGATTACCAAGACCAACCCATCAGCGGAGGATTTTATGAAGAGGAACTTCTTAAAGTAAAATATTCAGATATTTATCTTGTGGAAAAAATTCTCAAGACACGTGGAAACAAAGTTCTTGTCAAATGGCTTGGCTTTGATAATTCTCACAATACGTGGAAAGATAAAGCAAATGTATAATCTATTATTCGCAAATCGTCCCCAGTAACTTAACGCAAATGTCAATCAACCAGCAAATCAATCAAAGATTAATGTTAGCGTAGAACCTCTCTATAAATCAAAACTGCTTCCAACAACAGACCTTTACACTGCCAGTGCCAAATTTAATTAACATTAAATCAACAATGAATCAATAATGAATCAACAATGAATCAATAATGAATCAATAATGAATCAACAATAAATCATTAATGAATCAACAATGAATCAATAATGAATCAACAGTGAATCAATAATGAATCAATAATGAATCAACAATGAATCAATAATGAATCAACAATGAATCAATAATGAATCAACAATGAATCAATAATGAATCAATAATGAATCAACAATGAATCAACAATGAATCAATAATGAATCAACAATGAATCAATAATGAATCAATAATGAATCAACAATGAATCAATAATGAATCAATATTAAATCAGTTGGCACTGGCATTGTAAAGGTCTGCTGTTGGAAGTAGTTTTGATTTATAAAGAGATTCTACGCTAACATTAATCTTTAATTGCTTTGCTGGCTGATTGGCATTTGCGTTAAGATACTGGGGGCGATTTGCACATTTAAATTATATTTCATTAATATAAGTTTTAATCATATGTTATTATGTATATATGGAAGGATTTTTTAAATAAAAACACATGGAAATTGTATATAATTGCATTATTTATTAACAAACCTTTTATTTTTTTACAATCATATTTTACAAAATCATTCGTCGATTTTAGGGATCGCATAATGTCCCCACGGTAGAGTGTCGGTACTCCCCGGTAACAAATACCGTTTGTCGTCTTGCGGACTTAAAGCTACTTTTACCTGTTTTACAGTCTCAAGGTTGTGTAGTCGCGATCTTATATTATACTGGGTTCGAGTTTGAATGTCGAAATCTCGCAGACATTTTACATAATCATCAAAGTGAATCGATTTTTTCACAACGCCGGATTTAATGCCTTTAGCTTTTTTAATAAAATCTTTACCTTCAACCCGTACGCTGTACATCTTACTCCGCAAGCCAACAAATTCGGTAACGATCTTGCCGTTACATTCGTCTTTCATTAGACCGAGAATCTTTTTGTTGGCTTGCGGAATGCCGTACACGTTGTTTGCGGGATAGTCTGACGTATCAAACTTTTGGATGTCATTTTTCATGTCATTGTAGACATCTTTACATTTAATTTCATATATTAGACTGTCTGTATCGGTATACATCAGTTTACAATTATCGCCGTATTTTTTTAACATATACCCGTAGTGAAAATCGTAGATTAGCGTTTTGGAAACATCGAGCACACTTAACCCCACATAGATTGGTTTGTTGAGTAGTACCTCGGTTTTACGCAGTTCAATGGCAACCAGACTTTCGTCGAATATCGCTCGACTATGGAAATTCGGGCGAGAGATGAGGGCTTCAGCTCCATAGCGGCCAAACCATTGGGTGACAAGCTTAATGTCGACATGTTTACGGACATTTTCCATTGTTTTGCCGTATACCGCATTGTTCATGAGCTTGAACAAATTTTTCTCGAACTCATTTTTCGCATTGGTTCGCATCATCGTATTATAAACGATGTATGGTTTAAGCCATGTTGATTGCTTAAACTGTAAGACTCGGTGGATTTTTACAAGTTTAATGCCATTAGCTACAACTTGTTTCAACGCTCGGTAGTGGATAACATATTTTTCTTTGGGTAGGAGAGTTGTTAATAATTTCTCCTGTTTCGAGAGTGGGGTTTTGCATTTTCTGCACAAAATGGCATGTCTTTGTGGGTATCGTGAATACTTTCAGGATACTCCAAGTCAACTTCAAGTATGTATCCAACAGATGAATCGTCGGATACATTAAAATTGAAGGAGTCGTCGACATTTTCAACCCATTTGAAGCCGCCATAAGGGAGCGCTTGAGCCATTGCCCAGCCATATAAATTGTTGGCATCAAAGTACATGATGTAGCTTGTATCTTTGCTATCATCGAAATTTTCCATATATGGATTATTCGCTATAGTATATCGGTTGCAGCATTGACTTATGCCACCTCTAATACCAGATTCAACAAACATAATCATATCGATATCGGTTATTAGTTGCAATCCTATTTTCGTGTACTTGAGCATAGCATCCCAAGTTAAACCGGGGGTCGTATAATAGTGAGCAGGATCTAACCCGTACGCTTTAACACATTCTTTTCGAAAATTTTCAAAGACATCCGCAAGTAACAATACATCTGTTTTCATGTATAAATGTACATAGTCGTAGAGATTTTGACAGTCAAACTCGGTCCATACATTCTGCGCATGCGCATACTCATCATCAGAAATACCGGCATCATAAAGCGTACTATAAAATTTCTCTATCGGGGGTAATTCGGTTTCGTCGAGCTTGCTTTTTGAGTCAAAGTACTCGTAAGGGAACACACCTTTACGCGTTAGCAATTTTATTTTATTCGGATCTGTCACCGTACTGGCAAAAACAGAGTTTACAATTTTATACTCGTCTAAGTACGATGCGAGTTTTTCTAGGGATGCTGCCATGAATCGCAATGAGTCAATGAATCGAAATTTGACCTCACTCCCCTTGACGTGTTTAGTAAAAGAGATATATTTCTCTTTGTTAATGGGGAGGAGGTCAATTTTTCCTTCAAAGCTCGTCGAGATCGCGTGAATTATAAAATGGGCGTCGTAACCGCTTAAATTGTGGAAGACTACGGGGATCGTTTGACAATCTTGATAGTTTAAATTGCATGATTCATGGGCAGCACCCCTATATTTGCCAGTAAGGTGACAGTGATCGCGGACTTTCTTTTCGCTTGCCGGTATTTTCTCATGACAAATTTGACATATTGTCGCTCGCTTGAAGTCACTGATTTCTTGAGGAGTTAAGGCATTCATTGGTATCGGATTTTTAAATACATTATCAATTTTTTCAGATAATTGCCTTAATTCCTCAGCAAACCATTTCGCAGGGTCAGATTTATTTTTCGGACACGGTACATATTTACATAATGATTCGTCGTAGCTACATTTGATATAATATCCGATGCTTAACAATTTGTGACGCTGGAAGACTTCAGTCTTACTTAAATTGTCTACATCTTCATCCGCTGGAAGAAGTAGACTTTCACAGTCGGCGTAAATTACATATGGCACCTTTTCTTTGTTCTTAAAATTTTTAAATGTAATCAGACTTTTGTCAGGCGTCGGTAATTTAATTTTACACTCATTCATTTTTTTACAATTTTCAATGTGTGCGTTCAATCTTTCAACACCTGAAAAGTAGTGTAAACAGCGGTCACAGATATGTTTTCGATGTGCCTTCTTCGATAATTGTTTAGACACTAGGCGTGACAAATCTTTAATCCATACATAATGGAAGTTCATAAAATCATCGTTGTCATACAATACAGTATTATCATCACTTTCATCCGCATACATGTCGGCAACATACAAGAGATTTACATGCTTATCTCTTTTTTCCGCAGTGAGATGGAGAGGGTGTACCGTAAAGTTACCATAGCTCATTGATAGACCGTACACATTAATCGAAACATCATTAAGCTTTTCAAATTTCGGGATATTTTTAAGCGTCACTGGGAATTCAATTCCCTCAAAGTTCAATTGATCTTTAAATTCTTTAAAACTAGACACACGTTTAGGATCGGAGACATTTGGGTGTAAGGCTGACAGTACCGCCCACTTAAAACATTCATTGTCATTATTTTGCACGTTGATACATGCATGTTTATTTTTAATTCTTATCGGTAAATCAATGTAAGAGCTCGCACGCATCGGATTATACTTATTTACATTGATTTCTAATCTTATGATTGATTGAAGGTTCCAATTTGAACCCTTTGCATAGAACTCTTCGACGCTGTGCAAAATCGGATGTTTGATGTTCTCATCAAACCAATCGTCTAAAAGGGTTGTGGGAAAGATGCTGTTGGCCTTGGTTCCAAAAGGAATAGGCTTAACAACCTCCACATCATTCTCAACCCTCTTAAAATTGGCGATGAGAACACCATACACTACAATAGGTCCATTTTTATTTAAGGCACCTCTAATGCGGTCCTGAAACAGTGTGGACGCGTCGTTTAAAAACGAGCTTACATCGACGTGTACTAGGTTCAAGACCATATTAGTGTACAGTCTACACGCGAAAGCACTCTCACACTCTGCCCAGCGAACACGTTTCTTAATGTCTGGGTCACCGATCCCAGCGCCATCTACTACGTGGGACTCAAATAATGCGCGAAGTCTAATGATGGATTGTAGAATGCTCACACATCTTTTCTTTTGATGTGTACACTGTAAAAAAATCTGGTGTAAAATAACACGAAACTTTTAATTTCACACATCAAAATTATAGGTTGTACGTAGTAAATTTATTTCGTTCCAAAAGTAGTTTTACTATTTTTAATAATTTTACATTATACGACTATGTAATTTAATAGTTTTGTGTAAATTTACTACGTCCGACGTAGGAAAATTTGATCACTATGTCCGACGTGGTATTTTTACATTGCGTGTATTTCTACACTTTGACGTAATATTACGTCGCACGATCTGTACAATTACATGGCGAATGTAATTTTCTTATTCATTAAAATTCATTTTCTTATTTTCGAAAAATTTTCAAGTTTTTATAAATAACTCTAAAAAAGTGTATATAATGTACATTTATAGAAAGTATATGCTAATTCATAAGTAAATAATAATATTACAAAAAGTTTTGGGCTATATTTCATAAATACAAAAAGTTACGACTGAAAATATTATTTCAAAAAATATTTGCAGGTTATGTAGATTACAGTCGGCGTGTAAAAATACCACGTCGGACATAGTGACCAAACTTTCCAACGTCGGACATAGTAAATTTACACCAGATTTTTTTACAGTGTAAAGTACATCGACTTGAGAATGCTCGATAACAAGTTTTCATGTTTTGAGCATTCTACAACCCATCGTTCAATAAAAGAGCGTCTCTCATTTACATTACTTAAATAAGGTATCAACTCAAGGGCTTCTTTAATCAGAGTAACAGTGACGTCACTCTCGTCAAGAATAGTACCGTAATTCGGATACTTACGTAATGGTCCATCGGTGGTCGTCGCCTTCCGCTTCATCTCTGCACCTGAAATCAAAAGAAACACACTTACAAGCTAACACACTTACAAACTAAAAAGAACACACTTACAAACTAAAATACTTATACTAAACAAAACGAACTTACAAACTAAAGAACTTAACCTAAAAATGAATACAAAGTAAATGCAATAAACACAGTAAATATAACAATAAACACAGTAAATATAACAATAAATGTAACAAAAAAGACAGTAAATATAACAAAAAAGACAATTAGTAGTGGCAATGGGAATCTGCTGCTGCTGCTGTTGGAACCGCTGAACCTGTGAACAGAACAGCTACTGACTAAACTCGCCAAAATTCCTGAATATATACCCCGAAATCCCCACTCCTACCTTTAACGCATGCGCACTAGACCATTTACCCCCACTCCAACCTTTCACGCATCCCCCACTCTTAAATTTTTTTCCCCACCAATTCGCGCATGCGCAGAATAAATACATACTTTATTAATTAATATTATTATGAATATTAACCTTAACTTTAATATTAACTATAATACGCCTAGTGGAACGCTGGTGATGACGGCGACGTCTCTGCGCCCGGGGTAGCGGTAGTGTCGTCTCCACCCTGGGCTCAAGAGAATGCGCCCTGGCCTTTGTCATCTCCACCCTGGGCTCTGGTCATGGAAGTGGCCTTGATGAAGTCGTCGGAAAAGGCACCTCGTTGCCTTCATTCTGCAACTAAAAAAAATATATATTATTATATTATATTATATTATATTATTATATTACTTACGTTATACTTGGACACCATCCTCACGACGCAGTGGTAGCACCGGCAGCTCGGTTCCATGGTGGCCTGCTAACTCCGCTGCTGTAAGCTGAATGAGATCTCTACAGTGTACTAGCTGCCCTCGTAGGGCTCTCTCCCCACCAAGCGGTTCCCCCACTACGCGCTCGACACTCTGAGTAACGTGTGGCGGTTGACTTGAACTACTGTGAGCTCACCGCCGGCAACGAGCTAACCGCCGATAACAAGATCACCGCCGGTAACGCGCGAAATTCAATTTGAATTCAAAACGCTTATTGTAGTTTTAAGTAATAATTTCACTTATCTTAATTATAAATTGTTTATAATTAATAAAATAATGATAATAGTAATAATTAATAATAATAAACAAAAAAAATTAACAAAACTTTCCTTAATTAAATAAATAGTTTTTAAAATAAATAAATATTAATTATTAACAATTAGTTATTTTATATATAATAAACAAATATTTACAAATTATATTTTATAAATAACAATTAAACTTACCTTCATTAATAAAAATTTAATGGCGCCATCTATTGGTTCAACCTTGAACCCTGTCGGTAAAACAGAGCACCCCTTTTAACCCACTTGAAAGTTTAAAAATAAAATTTTAAATTTACCGCCAATGGGGTTTAGAATTCGCTAGTGGCGCTATCTATCGGTTGATCGTTGAACCCTGTCGGTAAAACAGAGCGCCCCTTTTAACCCACTTAAAACTATGAAAATAAAAATTTAAATTTCCCGCCAAGCACATTTGAATTTTCTGGTGGCGCCATCTAGCGGTCTAATCTAAAACTAACTCGGTCGGTAAAACAGATGCCTACCTTATCGGTCGAGTTAAAATTTATGTCAGATCCCTACCTTACCGACTGCTGATAAAGTAGAAATCTACATTACCGACTGAGGGTACTTAGCCGAGATCAGAACCTGCCCCAGAACCGGCCTAGCTATACTACTCATGTCAATAATGCAGCTGTTGTTGTGTTGAAACTGACCTATCCTAATATTTTATTAGAATATTTAGTTTGATATTAAAAATAGAATATATTGAATTTCAATAATTTCGTCACGAAACTTCTGATATAATTAATTAGAAATTCTCATGGCAAGACCAATAGCTTTCTTAGAATTGAATTTATATTTTTGTTTCTTCTTGTCAAAACCTTTTCTGCACCAGGCTTGAATCTTTTCTGTTAAATTTTATTTATTTATTTATTTAGTATATTCCATTTTCATTTTGGAATTACACATTTGAGACAAATTCCAGGCTTTTTCTTTGACATATATTTGAAGAAACAATAGAAGTAGCTCTTAAATATAACGAAACATTTGTCGTTAATTGCTTTTTATAATTTTCCGTCCTCAACTCATGATTGAGGATCAGAAATCCCTTTCGGCTATTGGCGACAATTCAGGATTGAAGCTCAGCCATGACGGGAAAAGCATGATACATGAATGTAAAATATCTTATACCCGCACGTAATCAAGCTTACTTCCTCATTAGTCAGAGACTTTGTCTCCTCATGCTTAAAAGAATTAACCTTCTTTAGAAAACAAAACGTTCCGCTTCTGCATTCCCACTTCCAGTTATTTCCATCTTCCATCTTCTTCGCACTTTAAATTTCTTGAATTTATATGATGTGGCTGTCACCAACGCCAAGAAACGAATGAAAGGTACACGGAGAGAAATCTGCTGCTATTATTACTCGAAAGAGCATACATTACTTAAATTGCTTAACGTTTCTCTTATATTTTTAGCATGGATTCATATATATATATATGAATAAGTATACTTATTGTAAAAATACTTTCAATGCAATAAGCATAAGAGACAGTAGCTAATTTTGCACGAAATCTTTATTATAAATACAAAGAGAACGTACTATAAAAGTATTAGATTCTTCTTATAAGAATCGCTCGAACTCCGACTGATTTTCAGGCGGACTTTATACAACACAATCTTACCTGTGTATACGCACATATAACTCACACACATATATATTTCTCTGGACAGTTTTCTCGTCTGGTAAAACATTATATATTATATGTAGTATTTAATACTTGTTGCTGTTATAAAAAGATAATATTTATTTAATAGTAAGTATATTATTTAAAAATTATTGCATTTTTATTCGTGTTTGAATATATATAAGCAACATCACTCGAGTGTATCGGTGTAGCGAGCTCAGGGTGATTTCACACCGTGCGAAGAGGGTCCTTTTATTGTCGTGCGACGGTGTAAATTTCACCCGACAGTTTTTACAGTGTATTTGGTTTTAAACCTTACAGCAACATTTAAAACCTAAATCTCCGCACAAATTTGAATTTAGCCAATGAGAGCGCTAGTTTACATGTTTACAAGCACTTTTTACAACTGTTTACAAGTATGTGACAGCCAGTGACAGCGCTGTATAAATGTACTGTAAATATGTTTCATAACAAAAAATATAAAAATAATAACAAATTACAAAGGTTTTTGTCGTGAGATGTTACCTATTTTAGAGAATTGTCATTATTTTTGTTTATAATTTTATGATATTGAAAATGAACAACAACAAAAAATACCGGTAGGACCTTTTTGATTTAACTTTGTTTTAAATCGATTATTTTTATTTAGGTAAAATTATCATAATAGAAAAATATTAGTATTTTTGATGTTGTAAAATTTATTCACCATTTTAAAAATTAATTTACGCAATTCTAATAATAATTAAGAATTGTTTCTGTAACTTTTTCTTTTGAGTATTATTTAAAATTCTGCAAAAGTTGAGAAAAAACAAAAGTTACACATAATATTTAATTTAATCAGTACAACTAATTAATAATTAAAATTAATAAAAATTAGTAATTCGTTTATATACATTTATTAACATGAATTTCTATTGAATGTTTTACAAGTTACATTGTTATAATAATTAGTGTAGATGGCAAAAATAGAATAATGTTATTATAACTTGTTAAAAAATATTTGTTTATGCATCTTCAAAACTTCTCCGTCAACAATGATAAATGATAATATAAATAAAGAACGGATGAAGTGAAAGACATTTTTAATATTTCGCTATTTAGATCCTAAAATTATTTTTAAAAACCAGTGCTTATTATTTAAGCATTTGTAAAAAAATCAACACTGTTCTTGTTTATTACATTTTAATATCGCAATAATTTTCAATAAAAAATTCAATTAAAAAGTCTAATTAAAAAAAAATACTTTCAAACCTAAATTAAAAAATGAAATATGTTTTGCGAATTTAATCAAAATTTCTTTGAATTACATTCATTAATTTTGTAAATACCACTTTTTGTTTGGAAAAAGTGAAATATTCAAATAGAATGACATTTCTTTTGAGCGAGCTTTTGAGTGTACACATTTAAAATTCTTCAAAAGTTGAATATTCCGAAAGGAGAAAATTCTATTTATGAGTTCACAATATTTATACATATAACGCTTTTTGTTTTCTTTAATAAATTACTTTTTCTAACTATCGTTATAGTAACGAGATTTTTAAAGTCTTGAGAGAAATTTCATAGACATCAAAAGAAGCATATTAAGCCAAATGAAGAGAGACAATTCGCTTTCATATGGCCTCATATGCCATATCAACATTTACCCTCGTTACAGAACCGTTTAAAAATTCTTCGAGTTCATCTCGTTCACGATTTTCCTCCTTTGATTTTTGTAATGATCGCCTTTTTTTCTTCTTCTCGGATTTTTCCCTCTCTTTCTCCTTGTCTTTATCCTTGGATTTTTTCTTCTTTTTCTTTTCTCTGTCCTCGTTCTGTAATATAAAGGATAAAATAATATACTGGCTTTGCACTAATTTATTTAAATTAAATATATTGATTTAAATTTATTTCTATGGGGAAGCAAAAAATAGCAAAAAGTAGCCTTAAGACTAAAAGGAAGTCCACAGTAAAAAATTATCTATCAAAAAATTAAATTTCACAACTAAAAAACTTATTTCAGTCGATACAATACGCAAAAAAAGTATCTTATTTTAATCAGGGTTATCACAAGATTTCCTTATGTATTTCCCGGTTTTTCAGAAAGAATATTAATTTCTTTCTTTATTCTGCCAAAAACTTCAATTCTAAATTTCTATAAAATTCAATTATTTTCAAAATTTTCAATTAGAATCCTTCAAAAATAAGATTGAATAAGAATAATTTTCAAAAGTAAAAATATTCAATTCCGTTGAATATTTAATTTATATCAATGAAATTTGACAAAATTTCCAATTGTCTCAATTTTTGAAAATTATTTTTGGGAATTCAACTATCTTCAACAAATTTTAATTCCAAATTTTCAAAAATTCAATTTTTTCCTTAATTTGTGAATTAAATTATTCAAGAATACAGTAATTTTTGTTTTAAAAAAATATTTAAATACTTATTGTTCTTCATTTTTTCACAGGAATTTGAATTTTTATAATTTCAAGGTAAAAACTTTTAAAATTTAGGGGTGAGTGGGGCAAACCGGCCATACTAACGGTTTTTTTACTCTCTTGTGACTAAACGAATAGACCGATTTCATTTTTCGATGGCTTGTTTGAAAGATCATTTAATTGCGCAACTTTTTTCCAGAGACACATATACTCTATCTTTTGTTGTTTAGTTGCTGTGTTAACTTTAAAAAAATTTGCAAACTGGAAGACAATTATTTTTCATTGGAAGTACACTCGATTCTCGTTATAACGACGATCGGGACTTCAAAATCTCGATATAACGACAGAAGGAGAAGATCCTACTTCACGTTCTATTCAAACGTCAAATACGTGCAAAATTTTTCGTAATGTATGTTTATTTATATTAAAAGTTTTTAAATTATAGAATCAGTTTAAAGAAAAAGTAAGTATTTTTAATAATAATCGGATCACTAGATTCTTTAGGTTAAATAAAGTTAAGAGTCGATTAAATTTGTCGTTTTTTTTGAGTTAACCAAAATTTTGGTTAAATTGAATTCTTAAATTCGTTCGTGTTTTTTTTGTCGTTGTATCGAGAGTTTTAATGTTCGTTATAACGAGAGAACGTTGTAACGAGATTCGTTATAACAAGAATCGAGTGTAAATATTTTAATGAAAAAAACATTTTCTTGAAACTCTGATACAATATAAATATCCTATGGCCGGTTTGCCCCACTGAAAACTGTCCGCTTTGCCCCACAGGCTCATTTTGAGAATAAATATTTGTTTAAAAAAAACGCTTTGCAAATTCATCAAAGTTTTTGGTGGTAAATATTCCTGAGGTGTGTACCTTCAAAACCTAAGACCTAATATTTGCAGGGATCACAGTGGCATTTCCACTTGAAAATAGGTAAAAAAGGGGATTTTTCAAAAGAAAAAAGGGGATTTTGAAAAACACGATAAAAATTATTTTGTTACAACATACAGGGTTTATTTTTTTAAACTTTTATTTTTCCTTCTATTTACAGCTTTTTGGATTAAATCTGACTTCTTTTGCTCCTTTTTTCTTAAATAATTTAAGAAAAAATAGCCATTTTTTCTTTTTACGGTATAATATGGAGTTTTCTAAGGTTTGTTTTATGTTGCGCGCTATTTAAACATTTTATAAAAATAAAATCAGGGTGTCCAACAAGGATTTGAGAAAAAGATTCCCTGACTTTTTACTTTCCTTATTTCTTCTTCGACTATAATATAGTTAATAAAATATAAGAAAAAAGTAGGGTTGCCACCTCATCGCGGCTCTCGGCCCGGAGAATTTTTCTTGACTATAAGGTGTAAATGCTCCCTAAAGCTTCTACCATACAATAAAGAATATGGAGAATAGTTACTAATTCAGTCATGATGTGTTATTGTTTCAATACTTAAAATTAAAAGTTTTTTTTTTAAATAACCGAAGACCGGAAGAATTTACTTGCGGCCCGGAGATCTACTTCGCAGCCCGGAGTCTCCGGGCGAAGCCCGAAGAGGTGGCAACTCTAGAAAAAAGTAATCTCATACTTAGAGGAAAAATCCTCTTCTAATATCCTCTTAATGTTTTCCTCTCAAAACAAAACTATTCGACTTGAATGTATATTATTTTTATTATTTATTAATTCATTGTTTTATTATTGACATTTGTCAAAAACATTGAATATTTAAAGGAAATAAATGAAGGAATAAATATATTAAATAATGTAAGTAATTAACTTTTAGTTATTAAATATAATTATTTACTTAAAAACATTAAATTTAGTGCATAAAATAAACTTTTCTTCATCAGTTTATAACTACAATTTGCAAATAATATCCGAGAGAAAAATCCTCTAAAGTGAAGAGTATTAATTTTGATACCATATATAAGAGGAAAATATGCATTCAGTTTAGAGGATTCCGCATTAAATCAAGATTACTTCTTTTAGGGTGAGGGATAAATTAATATCGAATTAGAGTAACAAATAGTAATAAAAACCAATTTAGTCTTGTTAGATTACTAAATTTTTAAATTCACAAAAAATTTTAACTTTCTTATTAAATTTATAAAAGTGTCCCTGACTTTCCTGAACGCTGAAAACCCTGTAAAATCTTTTTAAAAAATTATTAAATCATAATTTTTACTTTTCAAAAAAAAATTTACTGAAAAAAGGGGAATTTATTTTTTTTAAGGGGAAAAAAGGGGACGAACTGTAATCCCTGTATTTGGAAACCAGCGTTGCATAAACAAAAGTAAAAAATGTCAAATTGAAAAATTAAGGTATACTACACATGGTTGTTTCAAATTTCTAAATAGCACTTTTGACAATTTCGCCATTTCAGAGATATTGACACCTGGCCGGTTTGCCCCACTCTCCCCTAACCCTATTTTTAAAAAGTACAACTTAAAATCTTCCAAAATTCAATTATTTTTTAGAATTTTTAAATAAAGCAATTCAATTTATTAAAAAGAATTTTTTAATAATTTAAAAAACTAGTCAATTTTCTGAAAAATTTTAATAAACAATTTTGAAAATGATTGCGATAAATTTGTTTATTTTGCAAATAATTGAATTGTTCCACGGAATTTCATTAAAATTTTTGAAATTAATTAAATTTTTCAAAAGAATTTAAATTTAAAAAAATTGAATCCTTTTTAAATTATTTTCAAAAATTTCAGTAAAATTCAGAAATTTAATTATATTTAAAAATACTAATAAAATTCTTCAGAAGAATTCAATTATTTTCAAAAATTTGAGATAAATTTCTTTTTTTTCTCTAATTTCAATACAATTTTAATTAAATTCCTCGAAACTGTTGAAAAATTCTATTAAAAACATTAAAGATAATTGAAATTATACGAAGAATTTTATTACAAATATTGAAAATAATTGAATTCTTTAAAGAAATTGAATTTTGTTCGAGAAAATCTACTAAAAATAATTGAATTTCGGCACAGAATTTTTTATTTTTCAAATAATTGTATTGTTTTGAAGAATTTCATTAAAACTTTTTTTGTAGTATTTTATCAAAATTTTTTTTAATAATTTAATTATTCGCAAGAATTTTGTTACAATTTAAAAAAATTATTGAATTTGTTTCAGGAACTGAATTCTTGCGAAGAATTTGATTACTTATGAAAATTATTAAATTTTTGCGAAGAAATTTAATAAATTTTTTAAAAATAATTGCATTCTTTAAAAGAATTTTATTAAAACTTTCAAAAATAATAAAATTCTTCAAAAGAATTTAAATATTTTTAAAAATTGTGTCTTATTCTATTATTTTTAATACAATTATTTTAATTAGACTTCTCGAAAGAATTTAATTATATTCAAAAATTTTAATAAAATTCAGAAAGTCAATTATATTCAAACATGTTAATAAATTATTTGAAAAAAATTCAATTATGTATGTTCAATAGAATTTTAATTAAATTCCTCGAAAGAGTTGAAGAATTTTATTAAAATTTTAAAGATAATTGAATTAATTAGATGAATTTTATTACAAGTTTTAAAAATAATTGTATTAAACATATTATGTGAATTACTGTGAAGAATTTTACTATGTATTTATAAAAAAATAATTGAATCCAAACGAAGAATTTTATTAAATTTTTTAAAAATAATTTAATTTCTAAGAACAAATTTTTTTTTATAAAAATAATTATTGAATTGTGGTCAAGAATTGAAGCCGCGCGTCGTAAAGGGATCTAACTTATTCTTTATCAAATTTTAACTGTATAGAAAAATAGACACTATTACATATCCTTTTTCAAATTTCGCAATAAAAATTGTATAATTATTTATTTATTTAAGATACTTATACAAAAAACGGTTATAAAAATAAGTAAGTACTGTTGCAAATTAGTGTGTCAATAAGACTTGTTTTACCATAGTTAGTAAATTGTAAGAACGTAAATTTACAGGTGGAGCGAATAAGTTCACCTTCGATACCAATGCTGAGCAATTAACAAAACCCTTGATTATTTTATAAAAAAATAACAAATCTGTATATAAAAAACGCGCTGACAACTTTGGAATACTCAAGGCCATTATGACATTAGTGTAATCATGACTATTTCGTTCATAATTATAATATTATAATACCCAACATTATATAATTAAAATTTTTCTATTGTGCGGAAGAAGAATCTATCTCTTTTCGACTTTCAACTTTTTAAGATAGGTTATAAATAATCGATTTGGTGAAGTTACATAAAATGTCTTCAAAAAGAAAGAGAAAACCTTCTGAGTGGAAAAATAATGAAAGGAAAAAATTTAAAATTCTATAAAATCCTAAGAAACTTGAAGCGAAAAGTCAAAAAAAGAGAAAATGATTTTTAACTCCATAGTGACAACATTGTGGAAAATGGATCTATCTAAAAAATAGTGTTATTTACTTTATTGTAAACATTAAAAAATTTCTTCCATGAATTGTTCCTAATGTTCCTACGAAACTATAGTATACCAATCATGTTTACAAAAAAAATTTCTTATTCGTTAAAAAAATTTACAAAAAAAAGTAAGAATCCGACAGTAGTCGGCCACCTGAAGCAATCTTTTTAATTAACACTGTTTTAAAAGTGCAATTCATAATTTTTTTCGAATTCTTTCATGTAATGTTGTTTCTTACGATCAAACAAAACTATTAAACCAATCATGTAATCGGCCACTTAAAAAAGCTTTCAAAAACCGTAAAAAATTTTTTTTTTCAATTACAAAAGCTTAGATTTGTTTATGATCACCTTAGAAATGATTAGCAACAAACAAAATATTTTTATCTCATACGGTTTTATAGCTATTCAAAATTGAAAAGTGTCCGACTACTGTCTGGTTTACCCTGATTCGTTTTGTAAAATTAATAAATAAAATTTATTTAAAATGAATTTTATAAAAATTTAAAGAATTTGCAAATATTTCAGTAGTGAAAACAGAAAATACAGTGTTACAAAGTGATAAATTGAAAATTAAATATTCTTTAAAAAACTATATTTCATAAAATGCTTCCAAGAAGGAATTTTTATACGTGTTAATAATTATAAAAATAATAAAAAACCATTCGATATTGAATATTTTAATAATTTAATAATTAATGAATAAAAAATGTTTGCATCGTGGAAAAAGGATCTAAGTGAATTTGTCATTTAGATCCCTTTTCCACTGGAAAAAATAATTTATCAATTTTTTATGAAAAAATAAAGAAAATACTAGAGAAACACTTTATATAGAACAGTTTTTCTTCTCTTTGGAAACATTTCAAACAACTTTTTTTATCCAAAATAATTTAATTTCACTTTTTTTCATTTTTCTCGAAATTAACATTATCAAGGTTAAATCCCTCTTTGACGCGCGACTTCAATTTTTGTAAAATTTTTAAAAATAATTTAATTCCCACAAAAAATTGGTTATTTATGAAAATAATTGCATTGTATTAACTATTTAGCGGGTTTAAAGTAGTTTAAAATAGTTTGAATTCTCAAAAAAAAGAATTTTTTCCAACAACAGTTGAATTTATTAAAAGGAAAATACCTTCTCCTTGTGTTTCTTCTTCTCCTTTAAAACGGGACTGCTGCCATTCGAACTCAATTGTCTTACACTGGAAGTATCAAGAAGTTCAAGATGAACATTAGAACTTGTCATACTGACATCGCGACTTTTGTCACTAAATTCGAGTCTATCTTTCCTCGTGCTATTACTGCTGACATCCTCCCCGCCTTCTGGACTCTGTCGCCATTTCGAATCCCTTCCCAGCCAACTATCATAAGTATCCGAATCTTGTCGATTATTCAAATCGAATTCACTTGAACCCTGAAAGTCGTGCTCAATGGAAGACACAGAGTCACTTTTTTGTATTTGCGAAATTTCCTGACTCGATTCAGCTCCCTGTAATTCACGTTTGTGTCTCGATTTACTCAATGGATTTTCCGTCAGTTTCAATTGCACTGGTGTTGGTGACTCGTCGGCTGACGATAAATCGTCCTCAAAACCGGCCACCAACGGATTCGCAGTTTCTGTATCGCTGAAATAAAAAATTAAAAGTATTATTTCTTTTCTTCCCGTTTAAATTATAATTATATTATTAACTATAATAATCGTCTTATTCATTCTTTCATTCTGTCCACACCTAAAGTTAGTTTTTGTGTATTCTTTTGTTTTTTTTCTTTAAAAAAAATTTGTTTTGACAAATCGAAAATATGCAGGTATTTTTTCATGATTCATAATAAAATAATATTAAAAATTAGAAAATTAAAAAAAAATTGATGATTAACAAATGAAAAATTTACCCATTTTATTTATTACATCCTTTTTTTATAACAAATTTCGTTTGACTGATCTAAATTATGCAAATTTTTCTCTTCTTTATTTATAAAAAAAAGAAAATTTGTTAAAAAATTATGATTAAGAAATAGTAAATAAATACCCATTTTATGCATAATTTTTATTTCTTAATAACAATATTGTTTACAAACTCATTCTTTTATTTTGGGAAAAAAAACATTACATATTCCCGTTTCTTAATATTTTTGTAGAAAATTTTCAATTTTCATAAGGGAATAATTTACATTATTTCAATTTTTTAATTACAATTGTTTTAATAAAATTCAAATTTTTTTTAAAAAATAAACGAAACAAATGTTTATAACTTCTATAGTTTCTCTCTGCTTCTATTTGTCAAATACAAATTTTCAATGAAAATGAAAATTTTTGAATTTGTAGAAAATAAAGGAAAAAATTTTACTCAAAAAAAATGTTCCGTTACATTTTTACGAATTTCTTTAATTGTAAAATTATTCAAAAACATCAATAATTTCGTTTGTAAATTAATATTTAATTATTATTATTTTTCCACAGGAATTAAGACATTCAAAAATTACAAATTCAAACCTTTTTGAAATTAAACAACTTATAAAAGTATTTTGCTGTAAAACATGAAGATATTGATTGCTTTGGAGTGATCGATGTCTTTAAGTTTATAATAATTAAAAAATTAATGAAAGAAATTTAATTATTGCAAAGAAATTTATAAAAAATTGTAAATAATTGAATTCCTGTGGAATTTTTTATATTTTTGACAATAATTACATGTTTGTGTACGATTTAAAAAATTTTTTTTTCAAATAATTGAATTTTTCTAGGAAAATTTTATTAAAATAGTAGATATTGAAAATAATTGAAATTAGGACAAGAATTTTATTGTCATTTTTTTAAAATAATTGAACTTTGGGGGAAAATTTTGTTATTTACAAAGATAATTGGGATTTTGACGAGAATTTTTTTTAATTTTAAACATAATTGAATTTTATGAGAAGAATTTTATTACTTTTGAAAAAACCGCTGCCAAGTTGTACATTTTGCTTCCTCATAAGGAAGATTTGCATTCGTGACGATTTTCAATTTTTCAAAAGAAGGTTATATGGACTCATTTTCATCTATAACATATGTATATTCAATTCTGAGCAAATGTCCAGATGTATGTGTGTGTGTGTGTGTGTGTGTATGTCACAAAAATTGTGTACAAATTATCTCAAACAAATTTTGATGGATTGTCTTGAAATTTTGCAGGTTTATTGCAGTCATTAATACCTAAAATCTGACACAAGGATTTTCAAAAATATCTAAAAAAAAAAATTTTATAGGGGAGAGGTACGCATGTTGAGACGGGTTCTGTTTTTCAGTTATAATTTTTAAAAAACAAAATTTAGCGAAAAATTCGAAATGCTTTCTTAAAAGTATTGTCCAGGGCTACAACATTGCCAAAGAAAGTTATTTTTTTTTCGACAAAATTGAAAAATTTATAGCTGATTTTTTAAACATGTTATTTTTGACCAAAAAAAAAAGTGGTACGCACGTTGAGACACCCATAATAATTTATTTTAAATTGAAACAAAATAAATAATTACGTCAGATTCTAATTGTTTGTTGTTTATTTACTTATTTTGATGGTCTTAGCTCAAAGAAAAAAAATTAAAACATTAAAAATTAACTTAAAAATAATAATCAAAAAATAAAATTTTATTTTGCACAAAAATAATTAATCGAAATTTTTATATTCGCAATTTTTACAGGTGAAGAACATGTAAAACGCTTAAAAATTATGGATTCAAAATCAATTTTAATGACAGTACTATTTTCAAACCGTGAGCGTTTTAACCTGCGTACCACAGTGTGTCTCAACGTGCAGACCTTGCTGTTATTTTTTTAAAGCTTTGAAATTATTTGTAGATGTTAACGTATGTCTAAATTTTCGTCGGAACTATAAAGTAGAACCAAAATTGATAAGTAAATGTGACGCGATCTGAAGAAAGGGACCTTTGAAGCAAAAAATTATAGGTTATGTTTGCAATTTTCTAAATGAAAATACAAAAAAAGGATCAACTGTCAATATAAATCATTGATGTTTAAGTCTTCATTAAAACTAAAATATTTAATAAACACTGATTTTAATTCGAAATAAGTAAAAAGAAACTTTCAAACAAGAAAAAAGTAACTCTAACCCAACCTTAAAATGATTTGCTTCTAAGGTCCCTTTCTTCAGATCGCGTCACAAATGTTATCCGCAATTTTTTCTGCCACTAAAAAATACAGTAAATACACTAAACAGAAATTCTAAAAAACACTTTTTTTAACTAAAAAATTGGTTCGCTCTAGTTCTACCGAAAAAAACAGGAGTTATTGCGCTTTTTTTAAATAAAAAGTTTGGTATTAATGATACGACAAAATGCCAATAAAATTTTTGGTATTATCAGTTACACAGGTTATAATATCTTAGTGTCTCAACGTGCGGACCGTCTCAACGTGCGTACCTCTCCCCTACAATTTTTTTTAAATTCAAAACAAAATTTTTTTTTGTATTTTTGTAAATAATTTTTTTATTTGTTAATATTTTAATTAATTATTCTCAAAATTACATTCCTGACAAGAAAACGAATCGATTGATGTATACAAAGTATATTTTTTATCAAAATTTATAAAATTAATAGAAATTTTTCTTTTTCACAAAAAATTCAAATTTTGTATTTTTTCATAATTTATTTAATATTAATATTTTTAAATGATTATTCTATCATAAAAAAAGAAGCAATTTGCATATGAAATAGAGGTGTGTATTTAATCGAACCGAACATTAATCGACTCGACAACAGAAAATTCGAATCATTTCGAATTGCAAAAGTTTGCAAACCGCAATATAATTACATTTAATTTATGAATATATATCTTGCTGCATCAAAAAGAAATTTCCTTAAGAAGAATGTATGCTTTGATTGTTATGCTTTTGAAAAATCATAATTTGGTTTTCATGGAGATTTGTACCTAAAATGAAGTAATGAATATATTATTAACTTTAGTAAATATTTTATATGTTTGATTGGATTTTAGCCAATATCATCAAAGTACATTTAAAATTTTTTGAATTTATTGAAATTGTTTAATAAAGCTTGAAATAAAGAATTTAATGATATTGTTTCCAAGATGCACCGCGAGGAGGTAGCTAGAATTTTGTAAGTGAATTACGTCACGAATTTATATTTTATATGTTGAGGAAGCTAAATGGTCATAAAATGAACAACTTGTTTATAATTTTAATGTTCATTTCATGAACACTTTGCTTCCTCATAGAAATAATAATAATTGAAATATAAGAATTAATTTTTATAAAAAAGTTAAAAATCATTAAATCTTGGTCCAAAAAATATGTTTTTATATATTCGATAAGATGGTAATAATAGTTTAATAATTACACATAAGTTAATAAACAAGAATGTTGACAAAATTATATTTTCCACAATTTTTGATTTTTCAAATACCAATAATTTGATAATTTTTGACCGAATCAGGTTCAAAAATAGGTCAATCGAAGCCTTTTTTAATGCTCTACAAGTTGGTAATGAAAGTTTTAAAGTTTCTTTTATATTTTTCAACAAAATTTTCAAAAAAGTGTTATTTTCGAAAAATTTAGATTTTTAAAACTTTAATATCTCTGGTTAATATAGACGAAAAATGTTCAATGAAGGCTCAAAAGATGTGTCTCAACAAACTCTACAAAACTAAAGAAAAACATTTATAGGTGCCCTAACATTTTTTTTAAGTTATGGCCAAAAAACGTTTTTTTACTAAATGAAAAATGCAAAAAAAAAAACAATATAGTTAAACTTTATGAATCGGGCTGAAAATACTCTCATTTTATGTCCCCCGGGGAGACCTACAATTTAAAAAAAATTGAGGCCTTTAGCTCTTTCTCGTTCTGAGATATTGAGGTAAATGGTAAATACTAACATTAGTTAGTACACACACACACATCGGGACAAATTTTTAAAATCCGTTTTTTGGACTTCGGAGGTCAAAATACGTCGAAATTTTTTTTTATTCATTTAGAACATTTATACGGGCTTTGCCCATTCGTACGTCATAAAGTACTAAAGGATTAGGTATAACGAAAAAAAATTTATAAATATGTCAAAAAATCACAATCGAAAATTTTGCTAATACAATCCTTCCTCTATGAGGAAGCAATAATTGAATTTCTTCAATAAATTATTTGCAATTTCTCCAAAATTGAATTATTTTAGTTTTTTCAACAAAAATTTGAATGTTATTTTTAAAATTGATAATTTTATTTAAAACATGAAGTAAAAAGTAAGCCGCGCGCTTTAGTGAGCGAATTATTGGTAGTTATATAATAATAATTCAGATATTCTGTCCTCATGTGAAATTATGGCTTTTTGATTCCAAACTGTCTAGTAAAATACTTCGCAGAAATTAAATCATCTTTAAAATTTTGTAGAGTTTAATTATTTTCAAAAATTTTAATAAAACAATGCTACGAAACAAATAAAATTACAGTTACAATTGAAATTTTCATAGAAATTGTATTTTTGTATTTAAATAAATATTGAATGTCTGCAAAAATATTAAAATTCTTTACAGAGATTCAATTATTTTCGAAATTTTTGATAAAATTCTTCGAAACAATTCAATTATTTTTATAAATAATGAAATTCTTTGCAACAATTCCATTTC